TTTGTCATGGCTAAACAAAAAATATGAAAATGATAATTTCAGATCTGATTCCTTCAAGAAACAGACGTTACCATTAGGCAAGTTTAAATTTTTCCACGTCAACTCAGCGAGCTCATGTGATGGCTGAGTCATGCTTTTGACTTGATCCCCTGGTAGTCTTACATTAGTAACTCTGCAAACTTTACTCAAGGAACTGATATGCTTTCGCCTCAACTGACAATGAAATAGTAGTATTTTCGCCACTGCTGTGTTTCCTGCACAACAGATGTGACCAGAAGTGAACAATATACTTAAAATAAAACATTTGAAACAATTCTCGGAACTGTGAGCGCCACTATTTGATTACAAAAGAGTCTGACCATAAGAATTAATAGAAGCAATATGACGGATTAAGCAAGATTGCATCGAGACAGGACGTTTCTCAACCGAAGGAAAAGGTACACATCATTGCCTTTTCAATATATATACTTGTTTTGTGAATAGCATTGTGCTGAAATCTTTCAAAAACTATCCAGTAACCTTGACATGCTGTGGCTTTTTTCTGCACATATATAAAGAACAAGCAAGGAGCGTTTGACATTCTTCACTTGATGCAGTCGGCACAAGATTGCGCTTCGCTTCAGTTTTCATAACAATGCACAGGAGTAATCTCAGAAGATCTTTTCCTACGTTTCCTTCACTTTACAACAAAAGGCTCCCTAGTTAGCTGAGCAAACGACTGCATGAGTGCTGAGCCCACTAAGCTTCATTCGGTTATCTATCTGTGACGTTTGTATTACTGTCTGAGGTTGAGTGTGGCTAAGAAAGCTGTCTTAGGAACACACGCAAGGGAGACCTTCGATGAACATTCTGGGATCTCACAGTTTGCATACATAGAGGGAGGGAGCTGTACCAATGCTCTACTGACTATCCAACATACTGTCAATCAATATCTTGATATCCCAGAGTGCAAAGCGGTACGCCTATTCGCTATGGATTTCAGCAAGGCTTTTGATAGTGTGAAACACGATCTCCTCTCACACAAATTGAAGCAACTCCCCCTAAATCCTTTTATAGTTAACTGGTATCTAAGCTTTTTGGAAGACAGGCAGCAGAGAGTCATTAGAAATGGGTTTATTGGAAAATGGAAAAGTGTCAACAAAGGTACCACTCAAGGAAGTGTCAGCGGGCCGCACTTGTTCAATGTCTTTCTCAGTGATTTAGAGATACACTTGGACAATAAGAGCGTGCTGGTAAAATATGCAGATGATACAACCATTATCTCGCCTGTGATAGGTGATAATGACAATTCTATCGCACTGATTAATCAGTTTTCCCAGTGGTCTAGAAGTAATGGTATGTGTAGCAATCCATCTAAGTGCAAGGAAATCATTTTCCGCAAGAAAGGTTGTACAATAGAGTTTCCGATGGTGTCTGGAATACCACAGACAAAAGAGCTTACTATTTTAGGGGTAACATTTCAGGAAGACAGTAGGTTCATAACACATATTCGGGAAAAACTAATTAAAGCAAACAAGTGCCTGTTCATTTTAAGATCTTTAAGGAAAGAAGGGTACAATCAGGCCGAAATAGACCATCTGTTTCTAAATCTGGTTCTACCAAATATATTATACGGGCTGTCCGTATTTGGCGCTGTAAATTCCGAATTAACAACAATCCAATGTTTCTTAGATCGATGTTATAAGCGCAAGTATACATCCGATCACATTAATGTTTATGAATTGTTAGTTCAACAGGACACGCGTATCTTCAAGAATGTTTTTAATAATACAATACACCCTTTAAGAGCTATAATGCCAAAAAAGAAATTAACCAAGTACAATCTGAGGAAAGAGACAAGTCACCATCCTAAAATAAACACTGATAGGTTCAAAAACACGTTTGTTAATCGCTTAATTTTTAAACATAATCTAGTCTTATAATTTTTATCTTGATTTTCTCTGTAATTTATATATATGCCTTCTTTTAATGTTGTAACATAGGATATGTGATTATTTATCTTATGACTTAATAAAGATTCATTCAATTCAATTCAATTCAATTCAATTCCTCTCGCAGCCGATCAGAACCTTTGAAGAACAAAGGGTTGTATACAGTTGAACTTCTTGCCCTAATAAACAGACAAAGACAGAAAGCTGAGTTAAAATAGTAAATGCTAAACTCCTATCATTCAACCCCTTTTGAGGGTTACAACAAGCAGCCGAGTGCACTGGAATGTGCATCAGTACCAAAGATGGCAAACAATCGCGATCAATTCCGAAGGGTTTTCTCATGGTTCTCCAATATTCCTCCCTGCAAATTGAAAATCTCTCCAAACCCAAATTTTACTTGGAGAACGGATGACACGAAAAGCTCCTTCGTGATGGTGCCACTGCTAAAATCCAAAACATATTTCATGCCATGTCTGCTCTGAATCAAGATTGTACAAACTCTAATCAGTTCACCACTTAATTGTTACGGCAGTTGAACGATAAAATGTTATACTAACGTCGCCATTCGTGTGACAAATTAAAACTTTGGTAAGTTTCAGCCCAGCCAGTTTATATAATTCAGATTCGGTACAAACCAACAACAAGAATAAATCAATTAATCTCTGCCTTAAACTATAGTTTAAGGTTATCACTTAGAGTCACCCATTCAGCTGCAAGCGAGGCGTAATTTTGCATCACTTTCTATGATTCCTGAGACGGACTCAGTGAAAAAGGATATTTATGGCTCAATCTAAATGGCAAAAGTTTTCCAAATGCGTGAAAAATAACTATCGACGGATCCGTGAGTTCTCCCTCTAATCTTAGGAATACCACACACTGTGATCAAATAAAATGGACAAACTTTGGCGTCCAAATAAATTGGTACAAATTGCGTTATAGGCTCACTCTTTTCCAAGACTCTGCAGACATAACACTGGGAAATCTTCACAGCTGCCTGTTTGTTTCGTGCACCCTAAAAGAAACATGGATAATTTACCTCTTATCTCAGTTTCGGTACTTGACCATCAATCCAAATATTTGCATTGCTTTTTAGGACTTGTCCCTGATTTCTTCGTACGTTTGCTTTGCACTTTCAAACAAGAAGTTCTAGCGAACCGTATTCCACTACAAACAATACTTCTATTTAGGCGCTTCCCGTAGAATCTAAACGCAGCTCGAGTAATTGTATTTTCTGTAAATTCTTCGCCTGAAAGTGAGATTTATAAGTTTTGTTTGTAAATAAAACATGTCATCGAATGAAACCTTAACAAAATATTTTTATTCGACCATCTTATCCACGTAAAAGTTTTCATAAATGATGTATGGCTGTCACGTCGGATTTCGTGTAAACCAAGTGTCAAGTGCTCTTAATACGTCGGCGAGGTTGTTGAAACACGGAGAATTCTGCTCCACATAAGGAACACATTAGATACATAGGAATATTTTAATTAGTTCGGATAGGGAAGGCGGCGTGAAGCAATATGCATAGACTCTAACAGTGCGGCTTGTTGAAACTCAGGCTTAAGATCGCTATCAACTTATGAGGGGCCGATGAAATCCAATCTAGTGGCGATTAAAAGATTTTACCACATGCCATTTGCTTTTAATTAAAACTGGAAAAGTTGAAAAGCAATTAGATAAGAATTCTGTCAAGATTTTACGAGCTTTCCGCCCAGAAATTGAGTCTGGTTTTCCGAAGGGTGGTCTGAAATGTAAGAATTGCTTGCCAAACGCACGAGTTTGTGTCGTTACAGTAATTCTCTCATTGCTTCATTTAGTTTCTGTCCACACAATAAATCCGTTGTTTGTCTGACCTACTATCAACGAGGCCATTTTCCAAAGGAAACAGCACTTAGAAGCCACTTGGCGGTCAGAAGTTTGTCAAACATACTTACACAAATTTAAACAGAGCTACAAAATAAAATCACCAAAATATTTGTGATCGATCGCCACGTTCAAGTTACTAAGGAAGAAGCTTTTTGAATTCACGCGTGTACCCTTAGAAAACTTTTTACGCAAATTTCGCGACCGTGGTCCGATGTGAGCTACAAAGTTGTGTGAGAGGAACGTCTTTATTTCATTGGACACTTTATAATTGCAAAATAAATACTATATTATGCACATATGATCAGCTTATTTAACTTTTTAACTGGAATCTCAAGAAAAAGTCAAAACTCTAACCTAAATTATAAAAAGAAATCTCAAAGACACCATGACAGCGGATTTCTTGACGCCAGTGTAAGGTCTTACTTTGGTTTGAACCGCGTATGACTGCCTTCTTAACTTGGTATAAAAACCGTCGACCGCGCTCGTCTACACGGCACGTTTATACGCGCGCACAAAATTTAACTTTGTCAATCCGTTGCTTTTCTTCTACCCCTGATAAATAAAGCGAAGAAAAAACGCACAAGCACAGAGTAAATGATACACCATCAACTGACCAGCGGTACTGTTATCGACAGTGGAGATCATCATGTCCGAGTCACTAGGCGAAGCTAGAGGATAAAGAGAAAGGTACGCCTAATATTGCCGGGAAACAACGTAGTTTTGTGAAAGTATAATCTGTTCATGTTGTCCTTCAGCAGCATAATTAAAAATATAAAACTGTTCTAATGAGGTCTTAAACTGCTGTTTAAAAGTAAAATCTAAAATGCAAGCTTTCGCCGATCAACGGCATCATCAGGGATGAGAAAATACTTCGGGCGCACTAAATATCCAAGGTCACAAAAGTAGCATAAAAAGCTGCGTTCACAAAGAAATGTGACAAAGACAACGAAGAGTGTGGAAAATTATGTGACTGTGTAATACCGTCCGACCGTTTCGTTTATGGTTTTGTTTTACAGTAAAAATATGGTGCTCAGTTGTTGTTGCTTCCGTATTTGCTATCCATTTCCCTATGCTTTTAGATAGTGGCACACGAACATTTCCGATAAAAACTACTTATAATCACGCCATTTAATGTTGTAAATTTAAAAAATGTTATTGAAAAAACTGTAGAGTTTTCCGTGCGCTTCAACACTAATTAACGCGCATTATACCTACTACCTTTCACCACTACATGCACTTGCGTTGAACCATGGTTGTCGCTAACTAACAAATTTTACTACACAGCAAAACTGAGTTTTTCCATATGGTTCGAAACTCTTTAACGTATATTTACATTGCGTAATAAATGTTTACACTATTAAATTTGTCAGTGAAGTTTTACACAGGTTTTATAGTAAACAACATCTATTTTTAAGTGTTATTGATTTACATTCCAAGCTCAAAAATTAAATTGGGCAAATGATACTGAAAAATTTGAGGCTACAAATAAATGGAAAAACATCCGTATAATTCTAATTATAATCACTCGCTGTGCGTCTGTTTAACTTACAGATGACAGATGACGTCATAATGTGGTAGCTGAGTTTGTCATTGATGTTCTTACCACATATTGACGTTTTCTTTGATCTTTTACTGTACAGACCCACGGCAACATGGAATATATATACATCATACAATAATAAAATAACATATCTTTGTAATGATGACGTCATCTTTACATCAATCCTTCAATAGATTAAAAGTAATCAAAGCGCGTGTATAATTCAGCTTACCATGGTAAAGTCAATGAAAGCCCTTTATTACATACACGAAGTTATAAACATAGCTTTCGATGGTGAGAAAGAAGTCCATTTCCTAACTATCAGTTATTCCTCTACCGAGGATAGTATACTTAGCGAAAGCAAAATCTTTCAGCTAAGTCTCTTCGATTTAAACACTCGTGGCACAATGCTTGGCACAGAGCACGATACGTGGCATTCGAAGCGTTTTTTTCCTTCCACAACCGTAACATTTGATAAGCCTTCTCATAAAGATCACGTCTCCTTTCATCAATGTTATCAAGGTCTTCCTCGAGAATACCCAGCCGGCGTCCAAGCTTCCTCCAGTCTTTTGAGATGGAGTTCGACAGTCCCTGGTGATCATCACTACGTAGAGTGCCTTCTTTCAATTTTTTTCCTACGAGTATTGAAAGAAATGTCATAAAAAGAGCGCAGTAGAAGAATGAAAAAACCAGAATTTGATAAGAGTATATTTAACATACCTGCGAGAGACACTTCCTCGGGAATGAACGTCTCCCCTCCTTGGTTTGTCTCTGGTCTATCGAAATCTGCAAATAAAAAGTGTATGATTGGATTCAAACTTGACCGCGTTGAATCTTGGTTAAACGAGAAAACAATGGAAAGAAATCAAAGCTATGGAGACAAAATAACTCTTTAAGTAAGGTGGGGGGGGGGGGTAGGAAGGGAGGGGCTTCTAAAATATTAGGGGGGCCTTCATTCGAGGTTGGACATTTAAATAAATTTGACCTGATAGCAGGGGTGCTCGAGGGGAGGCACTGATTCGGAGATCTTCGGCTTGAACTCAGTCTCTGAAGTGCCTGAACCAATTACGATGTTCTCGACATTTGAATATTACATTGTGTAACCTGTAAGATCGCGACCTTAAAAAGTGACATTTGTTACCTGAAATCTTAGAAAAAAACTGCATCGCGCTAGAGAAGAGACCCCTGAGGAATACAAAGAAACCATCAATTCTGTTTCATTATTCAACATTACTTAGCACCCAAAAAAGAAAGAGTGAGGGTCACGCAACCTGTTTTTCGCTCGCCAGCTCTTTCACTCCTCCCCACTGATTGAGAGCCTGGTAAAGGCAAATATATGTGGACCCCGGAGTTAGCGAGTTTTGAAAAACACTCAAGGCTATAATTTCATTTTTTTAGTCCAGATATTATTTTATTTTCGGGAAAATGAGCTTGTTTCGTTGCGTTCAATTTAACATTGTCGGCCATAAGGTATCAAATTACTTCGTTGGCTTGTCCTAATGACGACAGGGGCAATGAAAACATAAATTTTTTTTTCTTGGTCAGAAAATGTTGAGTTTTTGTGACAAACGTAGGACAACCAAGAAAAAGTTTTATCAAACTTTGCGCACGTTTCAAGTAAAATTAGTTATAATTAGTTACCCTCAGTCTGAGGAAAGCTTTGTAAAGACTGGCCACTGTGGTTTTTACCATTGGCATCGTCCAAGACCTGAAGTCAAATAAATTACTCATAGTGTTAGTATTCTCCAAATAATCATACAAAGGGGAAATCCGGCAACTATAGGGACAAAAATGCTTTCGGGCAAAGTCCTGAGAGTCCTGAGATCAACTGGAACGTCAAATAGGAGACAAAAGGAACGTATTTCTTCGACGTTTTGAATGATATCATTTTCCAGTCTTTAGGCCGCTCAGTGTCATATCAAGGTCTGACCAAACCTAATTCGAATCCCCTTCGCAGGTTAAATACAACGAAAACCTGATCGCAAGGAACTTGAATTGGCTTTACCTGACTCCAAGTCTTGGGCGGACAAAACTTTGGACCCTGTGTACGCGTGCAAACGAAAGGCTTCCTTGTCAAGGAAACATAATGCGCACAATCATCGTGGGAACATTCTACTTCCGCATGCCAATAACACTTTCCGGTTCCATGAATAAACTGGCGTGGACACAAATCGCATCTAGCGCAGAGATCCCATGATACTTTTTGCAGCCAATGACACTCCTCGTGCAGCCTCTCCAAACTTGTCTTCAAAAAGCTAAAAGAGAGGGAGAGACTTTTGTCAAAGAGGTTGATATCTTTTCTTACAAATCTTTCACGTGCATACGTTAATGTCCGGAAAGTTCGTAATGTACACAATGTTCACCTGAGAGAAATGAAGTAAACCGTAGCCTCCTTTCAAACAACATCTTGACTATGACATCCATTACACTATCAAAGGGTTAACGATGTTATGAGCAAACCAAACTTGTCGGATCAATTCACATCGCATCAAAAACCACTTCCGATTACACGAACTGATAATTCATGTAAAAGTTCCCACCCTATGATAGAATGACTCACTTACGTGCACCTACCTTAAGACCTCTGAGCAAACTTTTGGCTCGGTCTTGACAGGGTCCATACTTGGATCGGTGAAATTCCATACGTGTACTTTGATCACACGCTTGTAGCAAACAAAATCAACTGCAGTGTGATCTCCCAAATAGAAACGAGCTAAGTTAGCCCACAGCTTTGCCTGATCACAGGCAATTCGTCTTTGTACAGATTCGAAGAAAAGGACAACCATTCTTGAAAAGAGACCACCAGGGACGTACTGAGTGGTGAATGTGACATAAACGGGTGCAGGGCCTGGGTTAGCAGAAACGTCCGGCATAAATGCATCGTCAGGTGTGGAGGTCAGCATGCACGGAACAAGATACACGGAACCGCCATCTTTTCCCGTATATTCACAAAGAAGGTTGAACTTCTTCATGAGGAAAAGTAAAGACTCCTTGATGTCGCCAACGCCCAGTTTTGTGCAAGAGTAATCAAGCAGTTTTGCATCAAGAATGCCGTACTTGCCAAGATCTTTGCGGAGATTTGAAATGACAGTTTTCTCTTCTTTCTGTTTTTCAACCGTTATTATCTGACACAAAACATCAATCAACCACTTTGGACTCAAAAACACCAGACTACCTGGATCGTCAGCCCTACCATGATAAACCACTGAACCACGATCGTGCAAAAACTGTAAAAGTACTTCATAGTCACCTTCGACCTCAAATTTGCAAATTTCGTCACAGATATTCTTTCGGAAGTCTTGCCTTGTGACATAGTTTGTCCCCCTGCTTGCTAGATAACAGACTTCATTTTCCACTTGAAGCCACCTCAATGGAACCTCATCTTGTGTATGTGGCAAGGTATCTGCAACCTTCAGAATCTCTTTCCGTAAGGCAAAAACTTGGGGATCTTCTTCCTCTAGTTCCTTACCAGCAAGAGTGTTGTTCACTGCAAATGTTTTTCCGATTATGTGATCACTGAATTCTCTTGCTGTGTCACAGATGATGTCCTTTACACTCGTAGTCACGATTTCGGGGTCTCCTTTTACAAGGTCGGCGCGTGTTCCAACCAAAATGACAGGTGGTAATACGTCGCCGTTCTTTTCGTGTTTGAAGGAATTCACCATGTCCATCCACCTCATAATGTGATCTAGGTTTGTGTCATTCTTGTCAGGAGACGGAATCTTAACTTCGTCGTAACCAGGCTCTTTCACCAAACATTGGGCTGGGGCAGAAAGATCTTTGGTAGGATCAACCACTAGCAGATAAACTGCTTCACGCGAAGCGAGAATAGGATGAATAGCACGGTAAATGGCTTGACCACCAAAATCCATGCAAACTGGCCAAATGCCGTCATCCTTCACTGACTCTATCCTCGAGAGGTTTTCAGTTGTAAGTCGCACCACTTCATCAGGCATGTCATTGTTTCGCTTCTCATTATGCCCGTTGTCCCCTTGAGTTATCGGAGAAATTTTATCTGAGTTCACCCGAGTCCTCGGTTCTATGTCATGATCTTGCTTTCCCTGAATTGAACCGAAAACAGATACAAGTCAATTCAATTAGCAAAGTTGGAATGGAAGTTGGCCATTCATAAAAAGCTTAAATATCACCTTTAGATATAAATGAACAATAAAACGTATTAAAAACCTTTGGTGAGCTCTTCGGTCCAACCTCATTGAAGAATTCTGAAAAAAAAAATTAGCTTTGATTAACTCCATTTAACCCAGTAATATTTCGCTGCAGTGCTATGGTTGTCGTTGCCTTTTTTTTTTCCTTTTTGTCTTTTTATTTACTTTGACGGCTTGTTTTTTCAGGTTTAAAAACGTAAGATTATAATTTTGCGTGTCGAGTAAAGTTGTAGAATACTCGAAAAAATTCCGTAAGGGTCTGTTGTTTTCCTTGTTACGATGAAGTCGTGAGCTTAGCCATGCATACTGATTTACAAATAACACGATGTGATCAAAGATTGTTCTAGAAGCATATCTACAGGAGTGAAACTCATGCCAAGCTGTTGTTGGTATCACTCGATAAGCCGTCAACAAAGATGTGTTGCAGACCTGCCGAGAAAACGGGTTAAATAACGACGTAAAAACCCATTTTAAAAAATCGTCGTTACTTGTGTGCGAGGTGTTGAATTTTAAAACTCCAACAACAACCTGTCTCCTATCACGTCCCCTTCCGGTCTTAGTAGCACCTTGTAAAAGGTAATGTAACGTGCAACCTCTGTGATTTACTAGCGTAAAGTTTTTCAACAACACAGAAACCAAATCAACATTTTGTAATGAGGTACATACCCACGTTTGATCCTATTTCACCGATCATCCTCTCTGTTCTCTGTGTCTCATCAGTCTCTGTTTGCTTCGTAACTTCGCTGTCCACGTAAATTTCGTTTGGTGGTTCAGTTAATAACTGGTTACTAATATTTAGAGCACATTTGTAATGGAAGGTACTTTTTTCTTGTTCCTCTTTGGAATTCTTCCATGGTTTTTCACCAACATGTTTCAGAGGCATGTCTATTTGCACCCCCAATGTGCTCGATTCATCTTGTCGGAATAGTTCACCTTTCAGAGAACGTAAGACACTAGTTTTGCCAACCCGGTCTTGGCCAATCAACAAGATTTTAGCCCGCTTATCGAATGTCTTTCCCGTTTCAAGAGCTCTCTGATAAGCGGCCTTCGCGATGGATCCTCTGGCCAAAATATAAGGCGGGACTGAGTGCACAGTTTGAAACTTGCTCAAAGAAGGGACATCAGCTCTCTCAGCCCTATTATTTTTGCGAAGAATGGTTTGCACTCGCTCATTCCAATCCTTTGCCTGCTTAGGGATACCAATGACATCACAGATGTTGGCCAGGTTTCTGTAACACTCTGCCACAATCATATTTTCAGGTCCCGACCTCTTCGCAAGAATGTTACGCGCACGCTCAAAGTTATCCTTTGCTCGCACAAGATCACCAAGGGAACTACATACGGTCCCCAAGTAACTGTAAGAAAGAGCCACGAGATCGTGCTCAGGTCCCAAATTCTTCAAAAAAATATTTAGCGCACGACCATGATAGTTCTTTGCTTCCTGAAATTCACCACAGGCAAGAAATACGTTCCCCAAGCCATGGTAAGAACATGCCACGCCAACATGCTCAGGTCCTAAATTCTTCAAAAGAATATTCAGCGCACGACCATGATAGTCCTTTGCTTGCTGAAATTCACCAAGGGCAACACATACGGTTCCCAAGCCATAGTAAGAACATGCCACGCCAACATTCTCAGGTCCTAAATTCTTCAAAAGAATATTCAGCGCACGACCATGATAGTCCTTTGCTTGCTGCAATTCACCAAGGGCACCACATGCGGTCCCCAAGCCATGGTAAGAACCTGCCACTTCAACATTCTCAGGTCCTAAATTCTTCAAAAGAATATTCAGCGCACGACCATGATAGTCCTTTGCTTGCTGCAATTCACCAAGGGCACCACATGCGGTCCCCAAGCCATTGTAAGAACCTGCCACGCCAACATTCTCAGGTCCTAAATTCTTCAAAAGAATATTCAGCGCACGACCATGATAGTCCTTTGCTTGCTTGAATTCACAAAGGGCAACACATACGGTCCCCAAGCGATTGTAAGAACCTGCC